CCTCCACACTCTCTGACCTCCTCCTCCTCCACACACTCTGACTCCTCCTCCTCCTCCACACTCTCTGACCTCCTCCTCCTCCACACACTCTGACCTCCTCCTCCTCCTCACACTCTCTGACCTTCTCCTCCTCCACATCTCTGACCTCTTCCTCCTCCACACACTCTGACCTTCCTCCTCCTCCACACTCTCTGACCTCCTCCTCCTCCACACTCTCTGACCTCCTCCTCCTCCACACACTCTGACCTCCTCCTCCTCCTCCTCCTCCACACACTCTGACCTCCTCCCTCCACACTCTCTGACCTCCTCCTCCACACTCTCTGACCTCCTCCTCCTCCACACACTCTGACTCCCTCCTCCTCCTCCTCCTCCACACACTCTGACCTCCTCCTCCACACTCTCTGACCTCCTCCTCCTCCACACTTCTCTGACCTCCTCCTCTCCACACACTCTGACCTCCTCCTCCACACTCTCTGACCTCCTCCTCCTCCACACTCTCTGACCTCCTCCTCCTCCACACACTCTGACCTCCTCCTCCTCCTCCTCCTCCACACACTGACCTCCTCCCTCCACCACACTCTCTGACCTCCTCCTCCTCCACACTCTCTGACCTTCTCTCCTCCTCCACACACTCTGACCTCCTCCTCCACACTCTCTGACCTCCTCCTCCTCCACACACTCTGACCTCCTCCTCCTCCACACACTCTGACCTCCTCCTCCTCCTCACACTCTGACCTCCTCCTCCTCCTCCTCCTCCACACTCTCTGACCTCCTCCTCCTCCACACACTCTGACCTCCTCCTCCTCCACACACTCTGACCTCCTCCTCCTCCACACACTCTGATCTCCTCCTCCTCCTCACACTCTGACCTCCTCCTCCTCCTCCACACTCTCTGACCTTCTCCTCCTCCACACACTCTGACCTCCTCCTCCTCACACTCTGACCTCCTCCTCCTCCACACACTCTGACCTCCTCCTCCTCCTCCTCCTCCACACTCTCTGACCTCCTCCTCCTCCTCACACTCTTGACCTCCTCCTCCTCCTCACACTCTGACCTCCTCCTCCTCCTCCACACTCTCTGACCTCCTCCTCCTCCACACACTCTGACCTCCTCCTCCTCCTCCTCCACACTCTCTGACCTCCTCCTCCTCCACACTCTCTGACCTCCTCCTCCTCCTCCACACACTCTGACCTCCTCCTCCACACACTCTGACCTCCTCTTCCACACTCTCCTCCTCTCTCCACACTCTGACCTCCTCCTCCACACACTCTGACCTCCTCCTCCTCCTCACACTCTGACCTCCTCCTCCTCTCTCTGACCTCTCTCCTCCACACACTCTGACCTCCTCCTCTCACACTCTCTGACCTCCTCCTCCTCCTCCACCTCTCTGACTCCTCCTCCTCCACACTCTCTGACCTCCTCCTCCTCCTCTCCTCCACACTCTCTGACCTCCTCTCCTCCACTCTCACTCTGACCTCCTCCTCCTCCTCCTCCTCACTCTCTCTGACCTCCTCCTCCTCCTCCTCTCTCTCTCCTACCTCCTCCTCCACACCTGGTCTCCTCCTCTCTCACTCTCTTGACCTCCTCCTCCTCCTGGTCTCCTCCTCCTGCTCTCTCTCCTCCTCCTGGTCTCCTCCTCTCTCTCTCTTGACCTCTCCTCCTCCTCCTCCTCCTCTCTCTGACCTCCTCCTCCTGGTCTCCTCTCTCTCTGACCTCCTCCTCCTGGTCTCCTCTCTCTCTCTGACCTCCTCCTCTCTCCTCCTCTCTCTGACCTCTCCTCCTGGTCTCCTCCTCTCTCTCTGTCCTTCTCCTCCTGGTCTCCTCCTCTCTCTCTGACCTCCTGGTCTCCTCTACTCTCTCTCCTCCTCCTCCTCCTCCTCTCTCTCTCTCTGACCTCCTCCCTGGTCTCCTCCTCTCTCTCTCTGACCTCCTCCTCCTGGTCTCCTCCTCTCTCTCTGACCTCCTCCTCCTGGTCTCTCTCCTCTCTCTCTGACCTCCTCCTCCTGGTCTCCTCCTCTCTCTCTCTGACCTCCTCCTCTCTGGTCTCCTCCTCTCTCTCTCTGACCTCCTCCTCCTGGTCTCCTCTCTCTCTCTCTGTCCTCCTCCTCCTGGTCTCCTCCTCTCTCTCTGACCTCCTCCTCCTGGTCTCCTCCTCTCTCTCTGTCCTCCTCCTCCTGGTCTCCTCCTCTCTCTCTCTCTCTCCTCCTCTGGTCTCCTCCTCTCTCTCTGACCTCCTCCTCCTGGTCTCCTCCTCTCTCTCTGACCTCCTCCTCCTGGTCTCCTCCTCTCTCTCTGACCTCCTCCTCCTGGTCTCCTCTCTCTCTCTCTGACCTCCTCCTCCTGGTCTCCTCCTCTCTCTCTGACCTCCTCCTCCTGGTCTCCTCCTCTCTCTCTGACCTCCTCCTCCTGGTCTCCTCTCTCTCTCTCTGACCTCCTCCTCCTGGTCTCCTCCTCTCTCTCTGACCTCCTCCTCCTGGTCTCCTCCTCTCTCTCTGACTCCTCCTCCTGGTCTCCTCCTCTCTCTCTGACCTCCTCCTCCTGGTCTCCTCCTCTCTCTCTGACCTCCTCCTGGTCTCCTCCTCTCTCTCTGACCTCTCCTGGTCTCCTCTCTCTCTCTGACCTCCTCCTCCTGGTCTCCTCTCTCTCTCTCTGACCTCCTCCTCCTGGTCTCCTCTCTCTCTCTCCTCTGGTCCTCCTCTCTCCTGTCTCCTCCTCCTCTCTCTGACCTCCTCCTCCTGGTCTCCTCCTCTCTCTCTGACCTCCTCCTCCTGGTCTCCTCCTCTCTCTCTGACCTCCTCCTCCTGGTCTCCTCCTCTCTCTCTGACTCCCTCCTGGTCTCCTTCTCTCCTTGTCTCCTCCTCTCTCTCTGACCTCCTCCTCCTGGTCTCCTCCTCTCTCTCTGACCTCCTCCTCCTGGTCTCCTCCTCTCTCTCTGACCTCCTCCTCCTGGTCTCCTCCTCTCTCTCTGACCTCCTCCTCCTGGTCTCCTCCTCTCTCTCTGACCTCCTCCTCCTGGTCTCCTCCTCTCTCTCTGACCTCCTCCTCCTGGTCTCCTCCTCTCTCTCTCTGACCTCCTCCTCCTGGTCTCCTCCCTCTCTCTCTGACCTCCTCCTCCTGGTCTCCTCCTCTCTCTCTGACCTCCTCCTCCTGGTCTCCTCCTCTCTCTCTGACCTCCTCCTCCTGGTCTCCTCTCTCTCTCTCTCTGACCTCCTCCTCCTGGTCTCCTCCTCTCTCTCTGACCTCCTCCTCCTGGTCTCCTCCTCTCTCTCTCTGACCTCCTCCTCCTGGTCTCCTCCTCTCTCTCTGACCTCCTCCTCCTGGTCTCCTCTCTCTCTCTCTGACCTCCTCCTCCTGGTCTCCTCCTCTCTCTCTGACCTCCTCCTCCTGGTCTCCTCCTCTCTCTCTGACCTCCTCCTCCTGGTCTCCTCCTCTCTCTCTGACCTCCTCCTCCTGGTCTCCTCCTCTCTCTCTGACCTCCTCCTCCTGGCTCTCTCTCTCTGACTCTCCTCGTCTCTCTCTCTCTGACCTCCTCCTCCTGGTCTCCTCCTCTCTCTCTGACCTCCTCCTCCTGGTCTCCTCCTCTCTCTCTCTGACCTCCTCCTCCTGGTCTCCTCCCTCTCTCTCTGACCTCCTCCTCCTGGTCTCCTCCTCTCTCTCTCTGACCTCCTCCTCCTGGTCTCCTCCTCTCTCTCTGACCTCCTCCTCCTGGTCTCCTCCTCTCTCTCTGACCTCCTCCTCCTGGTCTCCTCCTCTCTCTCTGACCTCCTCCTCCTGGTCTCCTCCTCTCTCTCTGACCTCCTCCTCCTGGTCTCCTCCTCTCTCTCTGACCTCCTCCTCCTGGTCTCCTCCTCTCTCTCTGACCTCCTCCTCCTGGTCTCCTCCTCTCTCTCTGACCTCCTCCTCCTGGTCTCCTCCTCTCTCTCTGACCTCCTCCTCCTGGTCTCCTCCTCTCTCTCTGACCTCCTCCTCCTGTCTCCTCCTCTCTCTCTCTGACTCCTCCTCCTGGTCTCCTCCTCTCTCTCTCTGACCTCCTCCTCCTGGTCTCCTCTCTCTCTCTGACCTCCTCCTCCTGGTCTCCTCCTCTCTCTCTGACCTCCTCCTCCTGGTCTCCTCCTCTCTCTCTGACCTCCTCCTCCTGGTCTCCTCCTCTCTCTCTCTGACCTCCTCCTGGTCTCCTCCTCTCTCTCTGACCTCCTCCTCCTGGTCTCCTCCTCTCTCTCTGACCTCCTCCTCCTGGTCTCCTCCTCTCTCTCTGACCTCCTCCTCCTGGTCTCCTCCTCTCTCTCCTGACCTCCTCCTCCTGGTCTCCTCCTCTCTCTCTCTGACCTCCTCCTCCTGGTCTCCTCCTCTCTCTCTCTGACCTCCTCCTCCTGGTCTCCTCCTCTCTCTCTGACCTCCTCCTCCTGGTCTCCTCCTCTCTCTCTGACCTCCTCCTCCTGGTCTCCTCCTCTCTCTCTCTGACCTCCTCCTCCTGGTCTCCTCCTCTCTCTCTGACCTCCTCCTCCTGGTCTCCTCTCTCTCTCTCTGACCTCCTCCTGGTCTCCTCCTCTCTCTCTGACCTCCTCCTGGTCTCCTCCTCTCTCTCTGACCTCCTCCTCCTGGTCTCCTCCTCTCTCTCTGACCTCCTCCTCTGGTCTCCTCCTCTCTCTCTGACCTCTCCTCCTCCTGGTCTCCTCCTCTCTCTCTGACCTCCTCCTCCTGGTCTCCTCCTCTCTCTCTCTGACCTCCTCCTCCTGGTCTCCTCCTCTCTCTCTCTGACCTCCTCCTCCTGGTCTCCTCCTCCTCTCTCTCTGACCTCCTCCTCCTGGTCTCCTCCTCTCTCTCTGACTCCTCCTCCTGGTCTCCTCTCTCTCTCTCTCTGACCTCCTCCTCCTGTCTCCTCTGGTCTCCTCTCTCTGACCTCCTCCTCCTGGTCTCCCTCTCTCTCTCTGACCTCCTCCTCCTGGTCTCCTCTCTCTCTCTGACCTCCTCCTCCTGGTCTCCTCCTCTCTCTCTCTGACCTCCTCCTCCTGGTCTCCTCCTCTCTCTCTCTGACCTCCTCCTCCTGGTCTCCTCCTCTCTCTCTCTGACCTCCTCCTCCTGGTCTCCTCCTCTCTCTCTGACCTCCTCCTCCTGGTCTCTCTCTCTCTCTCTCTCTGGTCTCCTCCTCTCCTCCTCCTGTCTCCTCCTCTCTCTCTGACCTCCTCCTCCTGGTCTCCTCTCTCTCTCTGACCTCCTCCTCCTGGTCTCCTCCTCTCTCTCTGACCTCCTCCTCCTGGTCTCCTCCTCTCTCTCTGACCTCCTCCTCCTGGTCTCCTCCTCTCTCTCTCTGACCTCCTCCTCCTGGTCTCCTCCTCTCTCTCTCTGACCTCCTCCTCCTGGTCTCCTCTCTCTCTCTCTGACCTCCTCCTCCTGGTCTCCTCCTCTCTCTCTCTGACCTCCTCCTCCTGGCTCCTCCTCTCTCTCTCTGACCTCCTCCTCCTGGTCTCCTCTCTCTCTCTGACCTCCTCCTCCTGGTCTCCTCCTCTCTCTCTCTGACCTCCTCCTCCTGGTCTCCTCCTCTCTCTCTGACCTCCTCCTCCTGGTCTCCTCTCTCTCTCTCTGACCTCCTCCTCCTGGTCTCCTCCTCTCTCTCTGACCTCCTCCTCCTGGTCTCCTCCTCTCTCTCTGACCTCCTCCTCCTGGTCTCCTCCTCTCTCTCTGACCTCCTCCTCCTGGTCTCCTCCTCTCTCTCTGACCTCCTCCTCCTGGTCTCCCTCTCTCTCTCTGACCTCCTCCTCCTGGTCTCCTCTCTCTCTCTCTGACCTCCTCCTCCTGGTCTCCTCCTCTCTCTCTGACCTCCTCCTCCTGGTCTCCTCCTCTCTCTGACCTCCTCCTCCTGGTCTCCTCCTCTCTCTCTGACCTCCTCCTCCTGGTCTCCTCCTCTCTCTCTGACCTCCTCCTCCTGGTCTCCTCCTCTCTCTCTGACCTCCTCCTCCTGGTCTCCTCCTCTCTCTCTGACCTCCTCCTCCTGGTCTCCTCCTCTCTCTCTGACCTCCTCCTCCTGGTCTCCTCCTCTCTCTCTGACCTCCTCCTCCTGGTCTCCTCCTCTCTCTCTGACCTCCTCCTCCTGGTCTCCTCCTCTCTCTCTGACCTCCTCCTCCTGGTCTCCTCCTCTCTCTCTGACCTCCTCCTCCTGGTCTCCTCCTCTCTCTCTGACCTCCTCCTCCTGGTCTCCTCCTCTCTCTCTGACTTCCTCCTCCTGGTCTCCTCCTCTCTCTCTGACCTCCCTCCTGGTCTCCCTCTCTCTCTCTGACCTCTCCTCCTGGCTCTCTCTCTCTCTCTCCCTCCTCCTCCTCCTGGTCTCCTCCTCTCTCTCTGACCTCCTCCTCCTGGTCTCCTCCTCTCTCTCTGACCTCCTCCTGGTCTCCTCCTCTCTCTCTGACCTCCTCCTCCTGGTCTCCTCCTCTCTCTCTGACCTCCTCCTCCTGGTCTCCTCCTCTCTCTCTGACCTCCTCCTCTTCCTCCTCCTGCAGCATGTGGTGCAGTGTGTGTTTGTGGCGATCCGGACCATCGGGAACATCATGATCGTCACCACTCTGCTGCAGTTCATGTTCGCCTGCATCGGGGTCCAGCTGTTCAAGGTGAGGAGGTCCTGACCACTGTGAGGAGGTCCTGAGGGGGTCCTGACCACGGTGAGGAGGTCCTGAGGGGGTCCACTGTGAGGTGTTGTATTCTCCCCTCATGTGACAGTGTTGGCGTATCATGTAGAAATAAGAGGTGAAGGGGAAAGCAGGGAAGGGTCATAAGAAAGTTTGGATGTTCCTGGAGGGGGAGGTGTGGCCTGGGACAGAAAGGGGGTGGGTCATGTGAGATGAGGAGGTGGATGGGGGGCGGTCTTGAGGAAGGGGCTAGGACTGGTCATCTCACTATTAAGGTCTGAGTTTCTTTCCTCAGGGGAAGTTTAACCGCTGCAGTGACGAGGCCAAGTCCAGCCCAGAGGAGTGCAGGTAGGTCCTGTCCACCTGCTGGTCCTGCTGGTCCTGCTGGTCCTGCTGGTCCTGCTGGTCCAGTCACTTCCTGTTGGTTTGATGTTGTGTTTCCTGTTTCCTGTCCTCCAGAGGGACCTACATCCTGTACACCACCGGAGACACGGCTCTCCCGGTGATCCGCGAGCGCCTCTGGTTCAACAGCGACTTTAACTTTGACAACGTCCTGATGGCCATGATGGCTCTGTTCACCGTCTCCACCTTCGAGGGCTGGCCCACGTGAGTCTCACACAGAACCAGCTTCTAGACCAGACCTGGGCCAGTCTCCCAGGTTCCTCTCTGGTCTCTGGGCTCTCTCGCTCTCTGTCTATGGTCTCTCTGTGGTCTCTCTCTGGTTTCTCTAGTCTCTCTGTGGTTTCTTTCTGGTTTCTCTAGTCTCTGTCTGGTCTTTCTCTGGTCTTTCTCTGGTTTCTCTAGTCTCTGTCTGGTCTTTCTCTGGTTTCTCTAGTCTCTGTCTGGTCTTTCTCTGGTCTTTCTCTGGTTTCTCTAGTCTCTGTCTGGTCTTTCTCTGGTCTTTCTCTGGTTTCTCTAGTCTCTGTCTGGTCTTTCTCTGGTTTCTCTAGTCTCTGTCTGGTCTTTCTCTGGTTTCTCTAGTCTCTGTCTGGTCTTTCTCTGGTTTCTCTAGTCTCTGTCTGGTCTTTCTCTGGTTTCTCTAGTCTCTGTCTGGTCTTTCTCTGGTTTCTCTAGTCTCTGTCTGGTCTTTCTCTGGTTTCTCTAGTCTCTGTCTCTGGTTTAATAATAATAATAATAATAGTTAATCGGTTTTATATAGCGCTTTTCAAAAACTCAGACGCTTCACAATTTAGGACACACACACACGTTTAGACAGACACACAAAACTAAAAATCTAAAAGCAGGAAAGAAGAGTACAAAGTTGATACTTAGAGTCGTATGCTTGGAGGAAGAGGGGAGTTTTTAGCTGTTTTTTGAAGGAGTTTAGAGAGTCCGAGTTTCTGAGATGAGGGGGGAGGGAGTTCCAGAGAGTGGGAGTCTCTGAAGTCTGAGTGAGGAGTCTATGAAGGACAGGGGTGATGTGTTCTCTGGGTCTGAGTGATGAGGCGGGCGGCAGAGTTTTGGACATATTGTAGTTTTTGGAGATCAGATGAAGGAAGGCCGTATAAAAGACTGTTGCAGAAGTCGAGTCTGGAGGATATGAATGCATGGATCAGGGTTTCTCTAGTCTCTGTCTGTGGTCTCTCTCTGGTTTCTCTAGTCTCTGTCTGTGGTCTCTCTCTGGTTTCTCTAGTCTCTGTCTGTGGTCTCTCTCTGGTTTCTCTAGTCTCTGTCTGTGGTCTCTCTCTGGTTTCTCTAGTCTCTGTCTGTGGTCTCTCTGGTTTCTCTAGTCTCTGTCTGTGGTCTCTCTCTGGTTTCTCTAGTCTCTGTCTGTGGTCTCTCTCTGGTTTCTCTAGTCTCTGTCTGTGGTCTCTCTCTGGTTTCTCTAGTCTCTGTCTGTGGTCTCTCTCTGGTTTCTCTAGTCTCTGTCTGTGGTCTCTCTCTGGTTTCTCTAGTCTCTGTCTGTGGTCTCTCTCTGGTTTCTCTAGTCTCTGTCTGTGGTCTCTCTCTGGTTTCTCTAGTCTCTGTCTGTGGTCTCTCTCTGGTTTCTCTAGTCTCTGTCTGTGGTCTCTCTCTGGTTTCTCTAGTCTCTGTCTGTGGTCTCTCTGGTTTCTCTAGTCTCTGTCTGTGGTCTCTCTGGTTTCTCTAGTCTCTGTCTGTGGTCTCTCTCTGGTTTCTCTAGTCTCTGTCTGTGGTCTCTCTCTGGTCTCTCTAGTCTCTGTCTGTGGTCTCTCTCTGGTTTCTCTAGTCTCTGTCTGTGGTCTGTCTCTGGTTTCTCTAGTCTCTGTCTGTGGTCTCTCTGGTTTCTCTAGTCTCTGTCTGTGGTCTCTCTCTGGTTTCTCTAGTCTCTGTCTGTGGTCTCTCTCTGGTTTCTCTAGTCTCTGTCTGTGGTCTGTCTCTGGTTTCTCTAGTCTCTGTCTGTGGTCTCTCTCTGGTTTCTCTAGTCTCTGTCTGTGGTCTCTCTCTGGTTTCTCTAGTCTCTGTCTGTGGTCTCTCTCTGGTTTCTCTAGTCTCTGTCTGTGGTCTCTCTCTGGTCTCTCTAGTCTCTGTCTGTGGTCTCTCTCTGGTTTCTCTAGTCTCTGTCTGTGGTCTGTCTCTGGTTTCTCTAGTCTCTGTCTGTCTCTCTGGTTCTCTATCTGTCTGTGGTCTCTCTGGTTTCTCTAGTCTCTGTCTGTGGTCTCTCTCTGGTTTCTCTAGTCTCTGTCTGTGGTCTCTTGTTTTGTCTCTGTTGGTCTCTCTCTGTTTCTTCTCTGTTGGTCTGTTCTCTGCTCTGTCTGTGGTCTGTCTCTGGTTTCTCTAGTCTCTGTCTGTGGTCTCTCTCTGGTTTCTCTAGTCTCTGTCTGTGGTCTCTCTGGTTTCTCTAGTCTCTGTCTGTGGTCTGTCTCTGGTTTCTCTAGTCTCTGTCTGTGGTCTCTCTGGTTTCTCTAGTCTCTGTCTGTGGTCTCTCTGGTTTCTCTAGTCTCTGTCTGTGGTCTGTCTCTGGTTTCTCTAGTCTCTGTCTGTGGTCTGTCTCTGGTTTCTCTAGTCTCTGTCTGTGGTCTCTCTCTGGTTTCTCTAGTCTCTGTCTGTGGTCTGTCTCTGGTTTCTCTAGTCTCTGTCTGTGGTCTGTCTCTGGTTTCTCTAGTCTCTGTCTGTGGTCTCTCTCTGGTTTCTCTAGTCTCTGTCTGTGGTCTCTCTCTGGTTTCTCTAGTCTCTGTCTGTGGTCTGTCTCTGGTTTCTCTAGTCTCTGTCTGTGGTCTCTCTCTGGTTTCTCTAGTCTCTGTCTGTGGTCTCTCTCTGGTTTCTCTAGTCTCTGTCTGTGGTCTCTCTCTGGTTTCTCTAGTCTCTCTGTCTGTGGTCTCTCTCTGGTTTCTCTAGTCTCTGTCTGTGGTCTCTCTCTGTCTTTCTCTAGTCTCTGTCTGTGGTCTTCTCTGGTTTCTCTAGTCTCTGTCTGTGGTCTGTCTCTGGTTTCTCTAGTCTCTGTCTGTGGTCTCTCTCTGGTTTCTCTAGTCTCTGTCTGTGGTCTCTCTGGTTTCTCTAGTCTCTGTCTGTGGTCTCTCTCTGGTTTCTCTAGTCTCTGTCTGTGGTCTCTCTCTGGTTTCTCTAGTCTCTGTCTGTGGTCTCTCTCTGGTTTCTCTAGTCTCTGTCTGTGGTCTCTCTCTGGTTTCTCTCTGTCTCTGTCTGTGGTCTCTCTTGGTTTCTCTAGTCTCTGTCTGTGGTCTCTCTGGTTCTAGTCTCTGTCTGTGGTTCTCTCTGTCTCTAGTCTGTGGTCTCTCTCTGGTTCTCTAGTCTCTGTCTGTGGTCTCTCTGGTTTCTCTAGTCTCTGTCTGTGGTCTCTCTCTGGTTTCTCTAGTCTCTGTCTGTGGCTCTCTCTCTCTGGTTTCTCTAGTCTCTGTCTGTGGTCTCTCTCTGGTTTCTCTAGTCTCTGTCTGTGGTCTCTCTGGTTTCTCTAGTCTCTCTGTCTGTTCTCTCTCTGGTTTCTCTAGTCTCTGTCTCTTGGTTCTCTGTCTCTGGTGTCTCTGTCTCTGTCTCTGTCTGTCTGGTCTCTCTCTGGTTTCTCTAGTCTCTGTCTGTGGTCTCTCTGGTTTATCTAGTCTCTGTCTGTGGTCTCTCTCTGGTTTCTCTAGTCTCTGTCTGTGGTCTCTCTGGTTTCTCTAGTCTCTGTCTGTGGTCTCTCTGGTTTCTCTAGTCTCTGTCTGTGGTCTCTCTGGTTTCTCTAGTCTCTGTCTGTGGTCTGTCTCTGTGTTTCTCTAGTCTCTGTCTGTGGTCTCTCTCTGGTTTCTCTAGTCTCTGTCTGTGGTCTCTCTCTGGTCTCTCTAGTCTCTGTCTGTGGTCTCTCTCTGGTTTCTCTAGTCTCTGTCTGTGGTCTGTCTCTGGTTTCTCTAGTCTCTGTCTGTGGTCTCTCTGGTTTCTCTAGTCTTCTGTCTGTGGTCTCTCTCTGGTTTCTCTAGTCTCTGTCTGTGGTCTGTCTCTGGTTTCTCTAGTCTCTGTCTGTGGTCTCTCTCTGGTTTCTCTAGTCTCTGTCTGTGGTCTCTCTCTGGTCTCTCTAGTCTCTGTCTGTGGTCTCTCTCTGGTTTCTCTAGTCTCTGTCTGTGGTCTGTCTCTGGTTTCTCTAGTCTCTGTCTGTGGTCTCTCTCTGGTTTCTCTAGTCTCTGTCTGTGGTCTCTCTCTGGTTTCTCTAGTCTCTGTCTGTGGTCTCTCTGGTTTCTCTAGTCTCTGTCTGTGGTCTCTCTGGTTTCTCTAGTCTCTGTCTGTGGTCTCTCTCTGGTTTCTCTAGTCTCTGTCTGTGGTCTCTCTGGTTTCTCTAGTCTCTGTCTGTGGTCTGTCTCTGGTTTCTCTAGTCTCTGTCTGTGGTCTGTCTCTGGTTTCTCTAGTCTCTGTCTGTGGTCTCTCTGGTTTCTCTAGTCTCTGTCTGTGGTCTCTCTCTGGTTTCTCTAGTCTCTGTCTGTGGTCTGTCTCTGGTTTCTCTAGTCTCTGTCTGTGGTCTCTCTCTGGTTTCTCTAGTCTCTGTCTGTGGTCTCTCTGGTTTCTCTAGTCTCTGTCTGTGGTCTGTCTCTGGTTTCTCTAGTCTCTGTCTGTGGTCTGTCTCTGGTTTCTCTAGTCTCTGTCTGTGGTCTCTCTCTGGTTTCTCTAGTCTCTGTCTGTGGTCTCTCTGGTTTCTCTAGTCTCTGTCTGTGGTCTCTCTGGTTTCTCTAGTCTCTGTCTGTGGTCTCTCTCTGGTCTCTCTAGTCTCTGTCTGTGGTCTCTCTCTGGTTTCTCTAGTCTCTGTCTGTGGTCTCCTCTCTGGTTTCTCTAGTCTCTGTCTGTGGTCTCTCTCTGGTTTCTCTAGTCTCTGTCTGTGGTCTCTCTCTGGTTTCTCTAGTCTCTGTCTGTGGTCTCTCTGGTTTCTCTAGTCTCTGTCTGTGGTCTGTCTCTGGTTTCTCTAGTCTCTGTCTGTGGTCTGTCTCTGGTTTCTCTAGTCTCTGTCTGTGGTCTCTCTCTGGTTTCTCTAGTCTCTGTCTGTGGTCTCTCTGGTTTCTCTAGTCTCTGTCTGTGGTCTCTCTCTGGTCTCTCTAGTCTCTGTCTGTGGTCTCTCTCTGGTTTCTCTAGTCTCTGTCTGTGGTCTCTCTGGTTTCTCTAGTCTCTGTCTGTGGTCTCTCTGGTTTCTCTAGTCTCTGTCTGTGGTCTCTCTCTGGTTTCTCTAGTCTCTGTCTGTGGTCTCTCTGGTTTCTCTAGTCTCTGTCTGTGGTCTGTCTCTGGTTTCTCTAGTCTCTGTCTGTGGTCTGTCTCTGGTTTCTCTAGTCTCTGTCTGTGGTCTGTCTCTGGTTTCTCTAGTCTCTGTCTGTGGTCTGTCTCTGGTTTCTCTAGTCTCTGTCTGTGGTCTCTCTGGTTTCTCTAGTCTCTGTCTGTGGTCTCTCTCTGGTTTCTCTAGTCTCTGTCTGTGGTCTCTCTCTGGTTTCTCTAGTCTCTGTCTGTGGTCTCTCTCTGGTTTCTCTAGTCTCTGTCTGTGGTCTCTCTCTGGTTTCTCTAGTCTCTGTCTGTGGTCTGTCTCTGGTTTCTCTAGTCTCTGTCTGTGGTCTGTCTCTGGTTTCTCTAGTCTCTGTCTGTGGTCTGTCTCTGGTTTCTCTAGTCTCTGTCTGTGGTCTGTCTCTGGTTTCTCTAGTCTCTGTCTGTGGTCTCTCTCTGGTTTCTCTAGTCTCTGTCTGTGGTCTGTCTCTGGTTTCTCTAGTCTCTGTCTGTGGTCTCTCTCTGGTTTCTCTAGTCTCTGTCTGTGGTCTCTCTCTGGTTTCTCTAGTCTCTGTCTGTGGTCTCTCTCTGGTTTCTCTGGTCTCTGTCTGTGGTCTCTCTCTGGTTTCTCTAGTCTCTGTCTGTGGTCTCTCTCTGGTTTCTCTAGTCTCTGTCTGTGGTCTCTCTCTGGTTTCTCTAGTCTCTGTCTGTGGTCTCTCTGGTTTCTCTAGTCTCTGTCTGTGGTCTCTCTCTGGTTTCTCTGGTCTCTGTCTGTGGTCCCTCAGACTCTCTCTCTCTGGTTTCTCAGTTGTGATGTCACGTGTGGTCTCTCTCCAGGCTTCTGTACAAGGCCATAGACTCCAACAGGGAGAACATGGGCCCCATCTACAACTACAGAGTGGAGATCTCCATCTTCTTCATCATCTACATCATCATCATCGCCTTCTTCATGATGAACATCTTTGTGGGCTTCGTCATCGTCACCTTCCAGGAGCAAGGGGAGAAGGAGTACAAGAACTGTGAGCTGGACAAGAACCAGGTACCAGGACCAGACCAGGGTAGCATCTGAACCAGAACCAGTCCAGGGTAGCATCTGGACCAGGACCAGACACTGTAGTCCCCTGGACCACTTCAAAGACCCTAAAGCAGAGGTCTCAAACACGCAGGGTGTTTGTGGACCATAGACAGACTATGATCTGTGGCCCCCTAGTGGACGTGTGGCCACACCTGCAGGTGAAAGCCAGATCACCTCAGACCTCTGAAGCTGTGCAGGCAGCATCTGGTTAGTACTGTGACGCTGTGGGGCAGCAATTATGCTGTGGTTGTGTCATTAGGCAAGACACTTCTCCCACATTGCCTACAATGAGTCTGGTGTATGTGTGAAGGGTTGGTGTTGGTCTGGTCGCAGGTAGGGCTGCACGATATTGGAAGTTATATAGATATAGATATGAGAGTGTTTAGTATTTCAATAAAGATATTATAGCGATATTTTTGTCTAAAAATGCAATCTGCATCAAACCAAGAGAAAAGTCTGTAACAAAAGTGAAGCACAGCATTGATTACATTCAAACGCAGTACGGCACATATTAACCTCAAATCTTGCCTAAAGTTGCCGATTCCATCCACACAGTATCAACCGCTTTGTATCGTGACGGCTGCAGTGAAAGATTTGTGTCTCTTCAAAGTTTTCTCATAAAGAGCAACAGAAGAAACTGTCTTTAAGGCTCTGTGAAGGGGCTTCTCCACACACACTGCTGGGGTGGAAAGGGTTCTTAACCCTCTAGGTGCCACGGTCGACTTAAGTCGACAAGCTGCGGTACTGTTTAAAACGGCCGAGTGTGTCCAACTGAGAGTCAAAACTCATTCATACTCCCTGCCACTAGTTGGCAGAGATGTCAGACTACCTCCCTGGCCCCAAAAAACTTCATGCTCCCATACAAAATATTCGAGCAAGACTGCGTTGAACTAGTGCGGAAATCATAGTGAAGCGAGTAAGTAAGATATATAAATAAAGTAATCATTATTTATATACCGCCTTTTCACTGCACATCGGAGTCTCAAAGCGGTTTACAATTGTTATTTTTGGGAGTGGAGCCAGTACAGGAGGCACATGCCAGAACTATTGTACATATTTTTAGTGGTAGGGGAAACCGGAGCACCCGGAGGAAACCTACGCAGACACGGGGAGAACATGCAAACTCCACTCAGAAAGGCCCTGGTCCAACCGGGATTCGAACCCAGGACCTTCTTGCTGAGAGGCGAGAGTGCTATCCACTCAGCCACCGTGCAGCTGCGGGGGCAGCCTGCGAGTGTTGTACCGCACCAAACACTGACTTTAGACAGGCGAAAAGTCTACAGGTGAAAAGTCTACAGGTGAAAAGTCTACAGGTGAAAAGTCTACAGGCGAAAAGTCTACAGGTGAAAAGTCTACAGGTGAAAAGTCTACAGGCGAAAAGTCTACAGGTGAAAAGTCTACAGGTGAAAAGTCTACAGGTGAAAAGTCTACAGGTGAAAAGTCTACAGGCGAAAAGTCTACAGGTGAAAAGTCTACAGGCGAAAAGTCTACAGGTGAAAAGTCTACAGGTGAAAAGTCTACAGATGAAAAGTCTACAGGCGAAAAGTCTACAGGTGAAAAGTCTACAGGCGAAAAGTCTACAGGCGAAAAGTCTACAGGTGAAAAGTCTACAGGTGAAAAGTCTACAGATGAAAAGTCTACAGGCGAAAAGTCTACAGGTGAAAAGTCTACAGGTGAAAAGTCTACAGGTGAAAAGTCTACAGGCGAAAAGTCTACAGGTGAAAAGTCTACAGGTGAAAAGTCTACAGGTGAAAAGTCTACAGGTGAAAAGTCTACAGGCGAAAAGTCTACAGGCGAAAAGTCTACAGGTGAAAAGTCTACAGGTGAAAAGTCTACAGATGAAAAGTCTACAGGCGAAAAGTCTACAGGTGAAAAGTCTACAGGTGAAAAGTCTACAGGCGAAAAGTCTACAGGTGAAAAGTCTACAGGTGAAAAGTCTACAGGTGAAAAGTCTACAGGTGAAAAGTCTACAGGTGAAAAGTCTACAGGTGAAAAGGTTATTCAGAAAAAAGAATATTCATGACTTCTACGATAAGTCTCTTTTCTCTTGGCTTCACTTCTCTCTGACAGAGTCACGACTGCCCTGGGGCAGACAAGCATACTTTATATACCCCTGCTTGCCCCTACCACAACACACTATCACTCTCAATCATTCTAAATTACACCACCTCTACCGCACATGGTATCCTCATTAGCTTCAGGAACGCTTTGATACATACACACAATAAATGTCCTTTCAAATGAGCTGTGGTCACATGACCCACAGTCTGGCTCCGTATGTCCGGGTTCACCAAAACACACCATGGAGACGCCACGAAAACACCAGCACAGGCGAGTGCAGTGACACATGCAGCGAGATATAACTGTACCATCAGCGCTCCTAATGTGCACCCTGAAGACGCACCATCAACGCTCCCAGTGTGCACCCTGAAGACGCACCATCAACGCTCCCAATGTGCACCCTGAAGACGCACCATCAACGCTCCCAATGTGCACCCTGAAGACACACCATCAACGCTCCCAATGTGCACCCTGAAGACGCACCATCAACGCTCCCAATGTGCGCCCTGAAGACGCACCATCAAGGCTCCCAATGTGCGCCCTGAAGACGCACCATCAAGGCTCCCAATGTGCACCCTGAAGACGCACCATCAACGCTCCCAATGTGCACCCTGAAGAGCCTACATGTCACAAACACAGTGCTTGTACCAGCAGAGGTCCGGGGGGGGGGGGGGGGGGGGGGGTACATGCACCATGGGTTACATGCACCATGGGTTACATGCACCATGGATTACATGCACCATGGGGCCGGGCGCAGCCTCACATGTGCTCCGTGGGACAGTGCGCTCGTTTGCACATTTGCCTTTCGTTTGACCGGAGGCGGCTGTGGAGTCTGAGAGTGTTTCCTTTCCCTTTTTTGGGCATAACTTGTTTCTGTGATTCTCCCTCAGTGCTCTCCTCTCTCCCTCAGTGCTCCCCCTCAGTGCTCTCCCTCAGTGCTCTCCTCTCTCCCTCAGTGCTCTCCCTCAGTGCTCTCCCTCAGTGCTCTCCTCTCTCCCTCAGTGCTCTCCTCTCTCCCTCAGTGCTCTCCTCTCTCCCTCAGTGCTCTCCTCTCTCCCTCAGTACTCTCCTCTCTCCCTCAGTACTCTCCCTCAGTGCTCTCCTCTCTCCCTCAGTGCTCTCCTCTCTCCCTCAGTGCTCTCCTCTCTCCCTCAGTGCTCTCCCTCAGTGCTCTCCTCTCTCCCTCAGTGCTCTCCCTCAGTGCTCTCCTCTCTCCCTCAGTGCTCTCCTCTCTCCCTCAGTGCTCTCCTCTCTCCCTCAGTGCTCTCCTCTCTCCCTCAGTACTCTCCCTCAGTGCTCTCCTCTCTCCCTCAGTGCTCTCCCTCAGTGCTCTCCTCTCTCCCTCAGTGCTCTCCCTCAGTGCTCTCCTCTCTCCCTCAGTGCTCTCCCTCAGTGCTCTCCTCTCTCCCTCAGCGCTCTCCTCTCTCCCTCAGTGCTCTCCTCTCTCCCTCAGCGCTCTCCTCTCTCCCTCAGCGCTCTCCTCTCTCCCTCAGTGCTCCCCCTCAGTGCTCTCCCTCAGTGCTCTCCCTCAGTGCTCTCCCTCAGTGCTCTCCTCTCTCCCTCAGTGCTCTCCTCTCTCCCTCAGTGCTCTCCCTCAGTGCTCTCCTCTCTCCCTCAGTGCTCTCCTCTCTCCCTCAGTGCTCTCCTCTCTCCCTCAGTGCTCTCCTCTCTCCCTCAGCGCTCTCCTCTCTCCCTCAGTGCACTCCTCTCTCCCTCAGTGCTCTCCTCTCTCCCTCAGTGCTCTCCTCTCTCCCTCAGTACTCTCCCTCAGTGCTCTCCTCTCTCCCTCAGTGCTCTCCTCTCTCCCTCAGTACTCTCCCTCAGTGCTCTCCTCTCTCCCTCAGTGCTCTCCTCTCTCCCTCAGTGCTCTCCTCTCTCCCTCAGTGCTCTCCCTCAGTGCTCTCCCTCAGTGCTCTCCTCTCTCCCTCAGTGCTCTCCCTCAGTGCTCTCCTCTCTCCCTCAGTGCTCTACTCTCTCCCTCAGTGCTCTCCTCTCTCCCTCAGTGCTCTCCTCTCTCCCTCAGTGCTCTCCTCTCTCCCTCAGTGCTCTCCTCTCTCCCTCAGTGCTCTCCCTCAGTGCTCTCCTCTCTCCCTCAGTGCTCTCCTCTCTCCCTCAGTACTCTCCCTCAGTGCTCTCCTCTCTCCCTCAGTGCTCTCCCTCAGTGCTCTCCTCTCTCCCTCAGTGCTCTCCCTCAGTGCTCTCCTCTCTCCCTCAGTGCTCTCCTCTCTCCCTCAGTGCTCTCCCTCAGCGCTCTCCTCTCTCCCTCAGTGCTCTCCTCTCTCCCTCAGTGCTCTCCTCTCTCCCTCAGTGCTCTCCTCTCTCCCTCAGTGCTCTCCTCTCTCCCTCAGTGCTCTTCTCTCTCCCTCAGTGCTCTCCTCTCTCCCTCAGTGCTCTCCCTCAGTGCTCTCCTCTCTCCCTCAGTGCTCTCCTCTCTCCCTCAGTGCTCTCCCTCAGTGCTCTCCTCTCTCCCTCAGTGCTCTCCTCTCTCCCTCAGTGCTCTCCCTCAGTGCTCTCCTCTCTCCCTCAGTGCTCTCCCTCAGTGCTCTCCTCTCTCCCTCAGCGCTCTCCTCTCTCCCTCAGTGCTCCCCCTCAGTGCTCTCCTCTCTCCCTCAGTGCTCTCCTCTCTCCCTCAGTGCTCTCCTCTCTCCCTCAGTGCTCTCCCTCAGTGCTCTCCTCTCTCCCTCAGTGCTCTCCCTCAGTGCTCTCCTCTCTCCCTCAGCGCTCTCCTCTCTCCCTCAGTGCTCCCCCTCAGTGCTCTCCTCTCTCCCTCAGTGCTCTCCTCTCTCCCTCAGTGCTCCCCCTCAGTGCTCTCCTCTCTCCCTCAGTGCTCTCCTCTCTCCCTCAGTGCTCTCCTCTCTCCCTCAGCGCTCTCCTCTCTCCCTCAGTGCTCCCCCTCAGTGCTCTCCCTCAGTGCTCTCCCTCAGTGCTCTCCTCTCTCCCTCAGTGCTCTCCCTCAGTGCTCTCCTCTCTCCCTCAGTGCTCCCCCTCAGTGCTCTCCCTCAGTGCTCTCCCTCAGTGCTCTCCCTCAGTGCTCTCCTCTCTCCCTCAGTGCTCTCCTCTCTCCCTCAGTGCTCTCCCTCAGTGCTCTCCTCTCTCCCTCAGTGCTCTCCCTCAGTGCTCTCCTCTCTCCCTCAGTGCTCTCCTCTCTCCCTCAGTGCTCTCCTCTCTCCCTCAGTGCTCTCCTCTCTCCCTCAGCGCTCTCCTCTCTCCCTCAGTGCACTCCTCTCTCCCTCAGTGCTCTCCTCTCTCCCTCAGTGCTCTCCTCTCTCCCTCAGTACTCTCCCTCAGTGCTCTCCTCTCTCCCTCAGTGCTCTCCTCTCTCCCTCAGTACTCTCCCTCAGTGCTCTCCTCTCTCCCTCAGTGCTCTCCTCTCTCCCTCAGTGCTCTCCCTCAGTGCTCTCCCTCAGTGCTCTCCTCTCTCCCTCAGTGCTCTCCCTCAGTGCTCTCCTCTCTCCCTCAGTGCTCTACTCTCTCCCTCAGTGCTCTCCTCTCTCCCTCAGTGCTCTCCTCTCTCCCTCAGTGCTCTCCTCTCTCCCTCAGTGCTCTCCTCTCTCCCTCAGTGCTCTCCCTCAGTGCTCTCCTCTCTCCCTCAGTGCTCTCCTCTCTCCCTCAGTACTCTCCCTCAGTGCTCTCCTCTCTCCCTCAGTGCTCTCCCTCAGTGCTCTCCTCTCTCCCTCAGTGCTCTCCCTCAGTGCTCTCCTCTCTCCCTCAGTGCTCTCCTCTCTCCCTCAGTGCTCTCCCTCAGCGCTCTCCTCTCTCCCTCAGTGCTCTCCTCTCTCCCTCAGTGCTCTCCTCTCTCCCTCAGTGCTCTCCTCTCTCCCTCAGTGCTCTCCTCTCTCCCTCAGTGCTCTTCTCTCTCCCTCAGTGCTCTCCTCTCTCCCTCAGTGCTCTCCCTCAGTGCTCTCCTCTCTCCCTCAGTGCTCTCCTCTCTCCCTCAGTGCTCTCCCTCAGTGCTCTCCTCTCTCCCTCAGTGCTCTCCCTCAGTGCTCTCCTCTCTCCCTCAGTGCTCTCCCTCAGTGCTCTCCTCTCTCCCTCAGTGCTCTCCTCTCTCCCTCAGTGCTCTCCCTCAGTGCTCTCCCTCTCTCCCTCAGTGCTCTCCCTCAGTGCTCTCCTCTCTCCCTCAGCGCTCTCCTCTCTCCCTCAGTGCTCCCCCTCAGTGCTCTCCTCTCTCCCTCAGTGCTCTCCTCTCTCCCTCAGTGCTCTCCTCTCTCCCTCAGTGCTCTCCCTCAGTGCTCTCCTCTCTCCCTCAGTGCTCTCCCTCAGTGCTCTCCTCTCTCCCTCAGCGCTCTCCTCTCTCCCTCAGTGCTCCCCCTCAGTGCTCTCCTCTCTCCCTCAGTGCTCTCCTCTCTCCCTCAGTGCTCTCCTCTCTCCCTCAGTGCTCTCCTCTCTCCCTCAGTGCTCTCCCTCAGTGCTCTCCTCTCTCCCTCAGTGCTCTCCCTCAGTGCTCTCCTCTCTCCCTCAGTGCTCTCCCTCAGTGCTCTCCTCTCTCCCTCAGTGCTCTCCTCTCTCCCTCAGTGCTCTCCCTCAGTGCTCTCCTCTCTCCCTCAGTGCTCTCCCTCAGTGCTCTCCTCTCTCCCTCAGCGCTCTCCTCTCTCCCTCAGTGCTCCCCCTCAGTGCTCTCCTCTCTCCCTCAGTGCTCTCCTCTCTCCCTCAGTGCTCTCCTCTCTCCCTCAGTGCTCTCCCTCAGTGCTCTCCTCTCTCCCTCAGTGCTCTCCCTCAGTGCTCTCCTCTCTCCCTCAGCGCTCTCCTCTCTCCCTCAGTGCTCCCCTCAGTGCTCTCCTCTCTCCCTCAGTGCTCTCCTCTCTCCCTCAGTGCTCTCCTCTCTCCCTCAGTGCTCTCCTCTCTCCCTCAGTGCTCTCCCTCAGTGCTCTCCTCTCTCCCTCAGCGGCAGTGTGTGGAGTACGCTCTGAAGGCGCGGCCGGTCCGACGGTACATCCCGAAGAACCCGTATCAGTACAAGTTCTGGTACGTGGTGAACTCTACGGGCTTCGAGTACGTGATGTTTGTGCTCATCATCCTCAACACGCTCTGCCTCGCCATCCAGGTGAGACCAGAACGAGACCAGAGACCAGAACGAGACCAGAGACCAGAACGAGACCAGAGACCAGAGAGAGACCAGAGAGAGACACCAGAGAGAGACCAGAGAGAGACCAGAGAGAGACCAGAGAGAGACCAGAGAGAGATCAGAGAGAGAGACCAGAGAGAGACCAGAGAGAGACCAGAGAGAGAGACCAGAGAGAGACCAGAGAGAGAGACCAGAGAGAGACCAGAGAGATGCCAGAGAGAGACCAGAGAGAGACCAGAGAGATGCCAGAGAGAGACCAGAGAGAGACCAGAGTGAGAGACCAGAGAGGGACCAGAGAGAGAGGCCAGAGTGAGAGACCAGAAAGAGAGACCAGAGAGAGGCCAGAGACCAGAGAGAGAACAGAGCGAGACCAGAGAGAAACCAGAGAGAAACCAAAGAGAAACCAGAGAGAGACCAGAGAGATCAGAGAGAGACACCAGAGAGACACCAGAGAGAGACCAGAGAGAGACCAGAGAGAGAAACCAGAGAGAGGCCAGAGTGAGAGACCAGAGAGGGACCAGAGAGGGACCAGAGAGAGACCAGAGAGAGACCAGAGAGAGACCAGAGAGAGAGACCAGAGAGAGGCCAGAGTGAGAGACCAGAGAGGGACCAGAGAGGGACCAGAGAGAGACCAGAGAGAGACCAGAGAGAGACCAGAGAGATGCCAGAGAGAGACCAGAGAGAGACCAGAGAGAGACCAGAGTGAGAGACCAGAGAGGGACCAGAGAGAGAGGCCAGAGTGAGAGACCAGAGAGAGACCAGAGAGAGACCAGAGTGAGAGACCAGAGAGGGACCAGAGAGGGACCAGAGAGAGACCAGAGAGAGACCAGAGTGAGAGACCAGAGAGAGACCAGAGAGAGACCAGAGAGAGACCAGAGAGAGACCAGAGTGAGAGACCAGAGAGGGACCAGAGGGAGAGACCGGATTATGTCTGAAAAAGCTGATGGATGACAGAGTCCAAACCCATGATGTGATAGAAACTGTTAATATTGTTGTGGTCTGAATGTTACGTAGCCCAGCTTTAACCTGTGTCTCCACATGGTTTTCCCGCAGCACCATGGGCAGTCCCCCCTCTTTAACTACGCCATGGACCTCCTCAACATGGTGTTCACCGGAGTCTTCACCGTGGAGATGGTCCTGAAGCTGGTGGCCTTCAAACCTCGGGTAAGACAGCCCCTGAGTGACCGCAGAGAGAGAGCCATGCTGACCTCCCCTATCCCCTGTCCCCTCCCCCTCCCCCGGCCCCTCCCCCTCCTCTGGCTCCTCCCCCTCCTCTGGCCCCTCCTCTCCCTGTTGGACCAGGGCTACGTGGGCGATGCCTGGAACGTGTTTGACGCCCTGGTGGTGGTCGGCAGTGTGGTCGACATCATCCTCAGCCAGGTACCTCCTCTTCCTCCTCCACCTTCTCATCCTCCACCTCCTCTTCCTCCACCTCCTCCTCCTCCTCTGTCATCATCTCCTTTCCTTTCACCTTGTCCTCGTCTCCTCTCACAGAAACAAGAGAGCAATCAGAGAAGGGCCAAGAGCAAGAGACCAGATAGGAGCCGCAAAAACCAGAGAGAGACCAGAGAGAGACCAGAGAGAGACCAGAGAGAGACCAGAGAGAGACCAGAGAGAGAGACCAAAGAGAGAGACCAGAGAGAGAGACCAGAGAGAGACCAGAGAGAGAGACCAGAGAGGGACCAGAGAGAGACCAGAGAGAGACCAGAGAGCGACCCGAGAGAGACCAGAGAGAGACCAGAGAGAGACCAGAGAGAGACCAGAGAGCGACCCGAGAGAGACCAGAGAGACCAGAGAGAGACCAGAGAGAGAGACCAGAGAGAGACCAGAGAGGGACCAGAGAGAAACCAGAGATAAACCAGAGAGAAACCAGAGAGAGACCAGAGAGAGACCAAAGAGGGACCAGAGAGAGACCAGAGAGAGACCAGAGAGAGACCAAAGAGGGACCAGAGAGGGACTAGAGAGACCACAGGTACCAGAGAGGGACCAGAGAGAGACCTCAGATACCAGAGAGAGACCAGAGAGAGACCAGAGATGGACCACAGAGACCAGAGAGATACCAGAGAGGGGCCACAGAGACCAGAGAGGGACCATAGAGGGGCCACAGAGACCAGAGAGAGCAGGAGTGAGACCAGGGAAAGACCACAGTCTGAGACCACTAGTCTGTTTGAATCAGTTTCAGTGAGCACTTATTCTTTGCGGAGACAATCCATCTCACGTCACATGTTCAGATGCTGATTAGAATCCTAAGCATAGGCCTCTCTCACACGGTCAGCGGTTTGGGAGCGGGTCGGCGGATGTGGGAGGGGGCTGTGGGATTTTGGCCCACTCCTCTTCAATGTGCAATGATGTTTGGAATGCTCTGGATCGCTGTATACGGGAGTGTGGTCCAGCGCCTGCCAATACCCTGCAACTTGACACAGCCATTGAAGAGGAGCCACATTCCCCTGGTTCTGTCTGTGGTTCTGTCTGTGGTTCTGTCTGTGGTTCTGTCTGTGGTTCTGTCTGTGGTTCTGTCTGTGGTTCTGTCTGTGGTTCTGTCTGTGGTTCTGTCTGTGGTTCTGTCTGTGGTTCTGTCTGTGGTTCTGTCTGTGGTTCTGTCTGTGGTTCTGTCTGTGGTTCTGTCTGTGGTTCTGTCTGTGGTTCTGTCTGTGGTTCTGTCTGTGGTTCTGTCTGTGGTTCTGTCTGTGGTTTCTGGCTTGAGCTTCGCCTGTGTGTGTGTGTCTGTCTGTGTGTGTGTTTAGCTGTGTGTGTGTGTGTTTAGGTGTGTGTGTCTATGTGGCCTTTGTGGTGGTAATCTGCTTTCTGCTCTCCTCCCCCCTCTCTCTATCTCTCTCTCCCTCTCTCTATCTCTCTCTCCCTCTCTCTATCTCTCTCTCCCTCTCTCTATCTCTCTCTCCCTCTCTCTATCTCTCTCTCCCTCTCTCTCTATCTCTCTCTGTCTCTCTCTCCTGTTCTCCCCCTCTCACCCTCTCTCCTCTCTCTCTCCTGTTCTCCCCCTCTCACCCTCTCTCCTCTCTCTCTTCTCTGCTTCTGTGTTTCTTTCCGCTGTCTACTCTTTTTCCCTCTCTCCCCTCTCTCTCCCTCTCTCCCACTCTCTCCCACTCTCTCCCCTCTCTCCCCTCTCCCACTCTCTCCCACTCTCTCCCCTCTCTCTCCCTCTCTCCCACTCTCTCCCACCTCTCTCACCCCTCTCCCACACTCTCCCACTCTCTCCCACTCTCTCCCTCTCCCACTCTCTCCCACTCTCTCCCACTCTCTCCCCTCTCCACCTCTCTCTCCCACTCTCTCCCACTCTCTCCCCTCTCCCACTCTCTCCCACTCTCTCCCACTCTCTCCCCTCTCTCTCCCTCTCTCCCCACTCTCTCCCACTCTCTCCCCTCTCTCCCCCTCCCCACTCTCTCCCCTCTCTCCCCACTCTCTCCCCTCTCCCACTCTCTCACTCTCTCCCACTCTCTCCCCTCTCTCACTCTCTCCCCTCTCCCCCTCTCTCCACTCTCTCCCCTCTCTCTCTCCCCTCTCCCACTCTCTCCCCTCTCTCCCCCCACTCCCTCCCCCTCTCCCACTCTCCCCCCTCTCTCTCCCACTCTCTCCCACTCTCTCCCCTCTCTCCCCTCTCTCCCACTCTCTCCCACTCTCTCTCCCTCTCTCCCCCTCTCTCTCCCCACTCTCTCCCCTCTCCCACTCTCTCCCTCTCTCTCCCCACTCTCTCCCCCTCTCCCACTCTCTCCCACTCTCTCCCCTCTCTCTCCCTCTCTCCCACTCTCCCCCCTCTCTCCCCTCTCCCCTCTCTCTCTCTCTCTCTCTCCCCCCCTCTCCTCCCCCTCTCTCCCACTCTCCCCCCTCTCTCTCCCCCTCTCTCTCCCCCTCTCTCCCCCCTCTCTCTCTCCCCCTCTCTCCCCCCCTCTCTCTCCCCCTCTCTCTCCCCCTCTCTCTCTCCCTCTCTCCCCCCCTTTCTCCCCCTCTCTCCCTCTCTCTCCCCCCTCTCTCTCCCCCTCTCTCCCCCTCTCTCTCCCCCTCTCTCCCCCCTCTCTCCCCCTCTCTCCCCCTCTCTCCCCCACTCTCTCCCCTCTCCCACTCTCTCCCTCTCTCTCCCCACTCTCTCCCCTCTCCCACTCTCTCCCACTCTCTCCCCTCTCTCCCCTCTCCCACTCTCTCCCCTCTCTCTCCCCACTCTCTCCCCTCTCCCACTCTCTCCCACTCTCTCCTCCCCTCTCTCCCCTCTCTCCCCCTCTCTCTCTCTCTCTCCCCCCTCTCTCTCCCCCTCTCTCCCACTCTCCCCCCTCTCTCTCCCCCCTCTCTCCCACTCTCCCCCCTCTCTCTCTCCCACTCTCTCCCCTCTCCCACTCTCTCCCTCTCTCCCACTCTCTCCCCTCTCTCCCCTCTCTCCCCCTCTCTCTCTCTCTCTCCCCCCTCTCTCTCCCCCTCTCTCCCACTCTCCCCCCTCTCTCTCCCCCTCTCTCTCCCCCTCTCTCTCCCCCTCTCTCTCTCCCCCTCTCTCTCTCCCCCTCTCTCTCCCCCTCTCTCTCTCCCTCTCTCCCCCCCTTTCTCCCCCCTCTCTCCCTCTCTCTCCCCCCTCTCTCCCCCTCTCTCTCCCCCTCTCTCCCCCCTCTCTCTCCCCCTCTCTCTCCCCCTCTCTCCCCCTCTCTCTCCCCCTCTCTCTCCCCCTCTCTCCCTCTCTCTCCCCCCTCTCTCTCCCCCTCCCCCCTCTCTCCCCCTCTCTCTCCCCCTCTCTCCCCCTCTCTCTCCCCCTCTCTCTCCCCTCTCTCCCTCTCTCTCCCCCCTCTCTCCCCCTCTCTCTCCCCCCTCTCTCTCCCCCTCTCTCTCCCCCCTCTCTCTCCCCCTCTCTCTCCCCCTCTCTCCCTCTCTCTCCCCCCTCTCTCTCCCCCCTCTCTCTCCCCCTCTCTCTCCCCCTCTCTCCCTCTCTCTCCCCCCTCTCTCTCCCCCTCTCTCCCTCTCTCTCCCCCCTCTCTCCCCCCTCTCTCCCCTCTCTCTCCCCCCTCTCTCCCCCTCTCTCCCCCTGTGTCTCTTGCTTCAGAACTACTTTGCCGATGCATGGAACACCTTTGATGCCCTGATAGTTGTGGGCAGCCTGGTGGACATTGCCATCACTGAGATCAATGTAAGTTCAATCCCCGACTGTGTGCCGCTGAGCAAGACACCTCCCCCTCCTGACTGTGTGCCGCTGAGCAAGACACCTCCCCCTCCTGACTGTGTGCCGCTGAGCAAGACACCTCCCCCTCCTGACTGTGTGCCGCTGAGCAAGACACCTCCCCCTCCTGACTGTGTGCCGCTGAGCAAGACACCTCACCCCCTCCTGACTGTGTGCCGCTGAGCAAGACACCTCACCCTCCTGACTGTGTGCCACTGAGTCAAGACACCTCACCCTCCTGACTGTGTGCCGCTGAGCAAGACACCTCCCCCTCCTGACTGTGTGCCGCTGAGCAAGACACCTCCCCCTCCTGACTGTGTGCCGCTGAGCAAGACACCTCCCCCTCCTGACTGTGTGCCGCTGAGCAAGACACCTCACCCTCCTGACTGTGTGCCGCTGAGCAAGACACCTCCCCCTCCTGACTGTGTGCCGCTGAGCAAGACACCTCACCCTCCTGACTGTGTGCCGCTGAGCAAGACACCTCACCCTCCTGACTGTGTGCCGCTGAGCAAGACTGTGTGCGCTGAGCAACAAGGACAGCGCCCGTATCTCCATCACCTTCTTCCGTCTCTTCAGAGTCATGCGTCTGGTCAAACTGCTGAGCCGCGGGGAGGGCATCAGGACTCTGCTCTGGACCTTCATCAAGTCCTTTCAGGTACCAGGACTGAGGCTGTAGACCCAGGACTGAGGCTGTAGACCCAGGACTGAGGCTGTAGACCCAGGACTGAGGCTGTAGACCCAGGACTGAGGCTGTAGACCCAGGACTGAGGCTGTAGACCCAGGACTGAGGCTGTAGACCCAGGACTGAGGCAGGACTGAGGCTGTAGACCCAGGACTGAGGCTGTAGACCCAGGACTGAGGCTGTAGACCCAGGACTGAGGCTGTAGACCCAGGACTGAGGCAGGACTGAGGCTGTAGACCCAGGACTGAGGCTGTAGACCCAGGACTGAGGCTGTAGACCCAGGACTGAGGCTGTAGACCCAGGACTGAGGCTGTAGACCCAGGACTGAGGCTGTAGACCCAGGACTGAGGCTGTAGACCCAGGACTGAGGCTGTAGACCCAGGACTGAGGCTGTAGACCCAGGACTGAGGCTGTAGACCCAGGACTGAGGCTGTAGACCCAGGACTGAGGCAGGACTGAGGCTGTAGACCCAGGACTGAGGCTGTAGACCCAGGACTGAGGCTGTAGACCCAGGACTGAGGCTGTAGACCCAGGACTGAGGCAGGACTGAGGCTGTAGACCCAGGACTGAGGCTGTAGACCCAGGACTGAGGCTGTAGACCCAGGACTGAGGCTGTAGACCCAGGACTGAGGCTGTAGACCCAGGACTGAGGCTGTAGACCCAGGACTGAGGCTGTAGACCCAGGACTGAGGCTGTAGACCCAGGACTGAGGCTGTAGATCCAGGACTGAGGCTGTAGACCCAGGACTGAGGCTGTAGACCCAGGACTGAGGCTGTAGACCCAGGACTGAGGCTGTAGACCCAGGACTGAGGCAGGACTGAGGCTGTAGACCCAGGACTGAGGCTGTAGACCCAGGACTGAGGCTGTAGACCCAGGACTGAGGCTGTAGACCCAGGACTGAGGCAGGACTGAGGCTGTAGACCCAGGACTGAGGCTGTAGACCCAGGACTGAGGCTGTAGACCCAGGACTGAGGCTGTAGACCCAGGACTGAGGCTGTAGACCCAGGACTGAGGCTGTAGACCCAGGACTGAGGCAGGACTGAGGCTGTAGACCCAGGACTGAGGCTGTAGACCCAGGACTGAGGCTGTAGACCCAGGACTGAGGCTGTAGACCCAGGATGAGGCAGGACTGAGGCTGTAGACCCAGGACTGAGGCTGTAGACCCAGGACTGAGGCTGTAGACCCAGGACTGAGGCTGTAGACCCAGGACTGAGGCTGTAGACCCAGGACTGAGGCTGTAGACCCAGGACTGAGGCTGTAGACCCAGGACTGAGGCTGTAGACCCAGGACTGAGGCTGTAGACCCAGGACTGAGGCTGTAGACCCAGGACTGAGGCTGTAGATCCAGGACTGAGGCTGTAGACCCAGGACTGAGGCTGTAGACCCAGGACTGAGGCTGTAGACCCAGGACTGAGGCTGTAGACCCAGGACTGAGGCTGTAGACCCAGGACAGAGGCTGTAGACCCAGGACTGAGGCTGTAGACCCAGGACTGAGGCTGTAGACCCAGGACTGAGGCTGTAGACCCAGGACTGAGGCTGTAGACCCAGGACTGAGGCTGTAGACCCAGGACTGAGGCTGTGTGTGTCCCACAGGCGCTGCCCTATGTTGCTCTGCTCATCGCCATGCTCTTCTTCATCTACGCTGTCATTGGCATGCAGGTACTGTGTGTGTGTGTCTGTGTGTCTCTGTGTCTGTGTGTGTGTCTGTGTGTGTGTGTGCGTGTGTGTGTGCGCGTGTGTGTGTGTCTGTGTCTGTGTGTGTGTGTGTGCGTGTGTGTGTGTGTCTCTGTGTGTGAGTGTGGAGAATGCAGATGCAAGATGGACCTAGTAAAATACTGACCTGTGTTGTCCCTGTGTGTGCGTCTGTGTGTGTCTCTGTGTGTGTCTCTGGGTGTCCTCTGTGTGTGCGTCTGTGTGTGTGTCCTCTCTGTGTGTGCATCTGTGTGTGGTGTGTCCTCTCTATGTGTGCGTCTGTGTGTGTGCGTCTGTGTGTGTCCTCTGTGTGTGTCTCCTCTCTGTGTGTGTGTCTCTGGGTGTGTCTCTGGGTGTCCTCTCTGTGTGTGCGTCTGTGTGTGTCCTCTCTGTGTGTGCGTCTCTGTGTGTCCTCTCTGTGTGTGCGTCTCTGTGTGTCCTCTCTATGTGTGCGTCTGTGTGTGCGTCTGTGTGTGTCCTCTGTGTGTGTGCGTCTGTGTGTGTCCTCTGTGTGTTTGTGTCTGTGTGTGCGTCTGTGTGTGTCTTCTCTGTGTGTTTGTGTCTGTGTGTGCGTCTGTGTGTGTCTGTGTGTAGGTGTTTGGGAAGATTGCCATGGTCGACGGGACGCAGATCAACCGCAACAATAACTTCCAGACATTCCCTCAAGCCGTGCTCATGCTGTTCAGGTGAGACCAGAGCGAGACCAGAGAGGGACCAGAGGGAGACCAGAGAGAGACCAGAGGGAGACCAGATGGAGACCAGATAGAGACCAGAGAGGGACCAGAGGGAGACCAGAGGGAGACCAGATGGAGACCAGAGGGAGACCAGATGGAGACCAGATAGAGACCAGAGAGAGACCAGAGAGAGACCAGAGAGGGACCAGAGGGAGACCAGAGGGAGACCAGAGGGAGACCAGAGAGAGACCAGAGGGAGACCAGATGGAGACCAGATAGAGACCAGAGAGAGACCAGAGAGAGACCAGAGAGGGACCAGAGGGAGACCAGAGGGAGACCAGAGGGAGACCAGAGGGAGACCAGAGAGAGACCAGAGAGAGACCAGAGAGAGACCAGACGGAGACCAGAAGGAGACCAGAGGGAGCCAAAGAGAGACCAGAGAGAGACCAGAGAGAGACCAGAGAGACTAGAGAACGGGACAGGGCCAAAGCAGCTGGGACATGTGATAACTGTCTCCCCCGTCTCCCCGGTCTCCCCCCCTCCCCCCTCTCCCCCCTCAGGTGTGCCACGGGGGAGGCCTGGCAGGAGATCATGTTGGCCTGTCTCCCGGGGAAACTCTGCGACCTGGAGTCCGACTACAACCCAGGAGAGGAGCGCACCTGCGGCAGCGGCTTCGCTATCATCTACTTCATCAGCTTCTACATGCTCTGTGCTTTCCTGGTACGGGAACCAGAGAGAGAGACCAGAGAGAGACCAGAGAGAGATACCAGAGAGAGACCAGAGAGAGACCAGAGAGAGACCAGAGAGAGACCAGAGAGAGAGACCAGAGAGAGAGACCAGAGAGAGACCAGAGAGGGACCAGAGGGAGACCAGAGGGAGACCAGAGGGAGACCAGAGGGAGACCAGAGGGAGACCAGAGAGGGACCAGAGGGAGACCAGAGGGAGACCAGAGGGAGACCAGAGGGAGACCAGAGGGAGACCAGAGAGAGACCAGAGAGAGACCAGAGAGGGACCAGAGGGAGACCAGAGGGAGACCAGAGGGAGACCAGAGGGAGACCAGAGGGAGACCAGAGGGAGACCAGAGAGAGACCAGAATCTGACGGATGTGTGTCTCAGATCATAAACCTGTTTGTGGCCGTCATCATGGATAACTTCGACTACCTGACGCGTGATTGGTCGATCCTGGGGCCGCACCATCTGGACGAGTTCAAGAGGATCTGGTCCGAGTACGATCCTGAGGCCAAGTGAGTCTGCTCCGCGGCGCCCCCTGTGGCTCATCCTCCAGTTCACAACATTCTACTTTTACTAATCTTGTAGTCAGTCCTGCCGTATCGCTCTGAGCTCTGCCCCTTTCTTATTGACAACAAGGGAATATAGTTTGGTTTCTTTGTTTCGCTGGTATCTTTTACTCATAATAATATTAGCTAACCGATAGTAACACAGAGCGTATGTGTGACATCACCACAGTGTTAGCGTTAAAGTGAAAGTGGCTGAAACCAGCTGGAGCCAATTTCCCAACCCGCTGATCCAAGATGGCGCCGTACTCAAATGAATGGTTTGTGCTCAGTGGTGCATGTGCCGGCACGGTTCTGTGCAGTGGACGAGCTCCCATGATGCTTTGCGCCAAATACGCGTGTGTGTGTCTCTCATGCACGTGCACAGAGGGGCTCGGCCGCGCTCTGACCAATCAGAGCTGATCAGAGCAGCAGCAGGGCGGAGTCAGAGCGGGAAGGAAAGGAGCAGAGTTTGTGGCAGTAAAGTGTGGATTTAAAGAAAACTGAAGGATTTAAGAAGAAAAACAGTTCAGGACGACAAGAGACACTAACATCCCCACGACCTATGACCTTTATGAAAGCTGTAGGTTCTCTGTCAGGTTCTCTGTCAGGTCCTCTGTCAGGTTCTCTGTAAGTTCTCTGTCAGGTTCTGTGTCAGGTTCTCTGTCAGGTTCTCTGTCAGGTTCTCTGTCAGGTTCTCTGTCAGGTCCTCTGTCAGGTTCTCTGTCAGGTTCTCTGTCAGGTTCTCTGTCAGGTTCTCTGTCAGGTTCTCTGTCAGGTTCTCTGTCAGGTTCTCTGTCAGGTTCTCTGTCAGGTTCTCTGTCAGGTTCTCTGTCAGGTTCTCTGTCAGGTTCTCTGTCAGGTCCTCTGTCAGGTCCTCTGTCAGGTTCTCTGTCAGGTTCTCTGTCAGGTTCTCTGTCAGGTTCTCTGTCAGGTTCTCTGTCAGGTTCTCTGTCAGGTTCTCTGTCAGGTTCTCTGTCAGGTTCTCTGTCAGGTCCTCTGTCAGGTTCTCTGTCAGGTTCTCTGTCAGGTTCTCTGTCAGGCTCGCTGTCAGGTTCTCTGTAGGTTCTCTGTCAGGTTCTCTGTCAGGTTCTCTGTCAGGTTCTCTGTCAGGTTCTCTGTCAGGTTCTCTGTCAGGTTCTCTGTCAGGTTCTCTGTCAGGTTCTCTGTCAGGTTCTCTGTCAGGTTCTCTGTCAGGTTCTCTGTCAGGTCCTCTGTCAGGTTCTCTGTCAGGTTCTCTGTCAGGTTCTCTGTCAGGTTCTCTGTCAGGTCCTCTGTCAGGTTCTCTGTCAGGTTCTCTGTCAGGTTCTCTGTCAGGTTCTCTGTCAGGTTCTCTGTCAGGTTCTCTGTCAGGTTCTCTGTCAGGTTCTCTGTCAGGTTCTCTGTCAGGTTCTCTGTCAGGTTCTCTGTCAGGTCCTCTGTCAGGTTCTCTGTCAGGTTCTCTGTCAGGTTCTCTGTAGGTTCTCTGTCAGGTTCTCTGTCAGGTTCTCTGTCAGCTGAGGTTGAGCTATTTTAGTTTACATTGAGTTCTATGGGGAAAATGTCTGGGTAGCCCACGTGATTTTAGTCTGGTTTAGTCTGGTTTAGTCTGGTTTAGTCTGGTTTAGTCTGGTTTAGTCTGGTTTAGTCTGCGAGAATCCCCCGAGCACATGGTCCTTCAGCTCCAAGCTGTAATACTCTATCCAGATAGTATTATAATAGATCCATGCACTTTCCTTATATGGGCATTTGTTGTGACGGTGTTAGCTTCACGCAGTAACGGAGGCAGACGTGTTGCTAAGGCAGATGAAGGCTCTGATTGGTTAATCCTTATATATGTTATATACTTGTGTGTGTGTGTTTATCTCTCTGTGTGTGTGTGTGTGTGTGTGTGTTTATCTCTGTGTGTGTGTGTGTGTGTGTGTGTTTATCTGACATGTCTTTATCTCTGTGTGTGTGTGTGTTTATCTGTGTGTGTGTGTGTGTGTGTCTGTGTGTGTGTGTGTGTTTATCTTTGTGTGTGTGTGTGTGTGTTTATCTTCTCTGTGTGTGTGTTTATCTGTGTGTGTGTGTGTGTGTTTATCTCTGTGTGTGTGTGTTTATCTGTGTGTGTGTGTGTGTGTGTTTATCTCTGTGTGTGTGTGTTTATCTGTGTGTGTGTTTATCTCTGCGTGTGTGTTTATCTCTGTGTGTGTATGTTTGTGTGTGTTTATCTCTGTGTGTGTGTGTGTTTATCTCTGTGTGTGTGTGTTTGTGTGTGTTTATCTCTGTGTGTGTGTGTGTGTGTTTATCTCTGTGTGTGTGTGTGTGTTTATCTCTGTGTGTGTGTGTGTTATCTCTGTGTGTGTGTGTGTGTGTTTATCTGTGTGTGTGTGTGTTTATCTCTGTGTGTGTGTGTGTCAGAGGTCGTATCAAACACCTGGATGTGGTGACGTTGCTGCGCAGGATCCAGCCTCCTCTGGGCTTCGGGAAACTCTGCCCTCACCGTGTGGCCTGCAAGGTGAGCATATAACCATGTGCTCTGTATAAACCATGTGGCATGTCTTTGAGCTCTGTATAAACCATGTGGCATGTCTTTGAGCTCTCTATGAACCATGTGGCATGTCTTTGAGCTCTCTATGAACCATGTGGCATGTCTTTGAGCTCTCTATGAACCATGTGGCATGTCTTTGAACTCTGTATAAACCATGTGGCATGTCTTTGAGCTCTCTATGAACCATGTGGCATGCCTTTGATCTCTCTATGAACCATGTGGCATGTCTTTGAGCTCTCTATGAACCATGTGGCATGTCTTTGAGCTCTGTATAAACCATGTGGCATGTCTTTGATCTCTCTATGAACCATGTGGCATGTCTTTGAGCTCTGTATAAACCATGTGGCATGTCTTTGAGCTCTCTATGAACCATGTGGCATGTCTTTGAGCTCTCTATGAACCATGTGGCATGTCTTTGAGCTCTGTATTAACCATGTGGAATGTCTTTGAGCTCTGTATAAACCATGTGGCCTGTCTTTGAGCTCTGTATAAACCATGTGGCCTGTCTTTGAGCTCTGTATAAACCATGTGGCATGTCTTTGATCTCTCTATGAACCATGTGGCATGTCTTTGAGCTCTGTATAAACCATGTGGCATGTCTTTGAGCTCTGTATAAACCATGTGGCCTGTCTTTGAGCTCTGTATAAACCATGTGGCCTGTCTTTGAGCTCTGTATAAACCATGTGGCCTGTCTTTGAGCTCTGTATAAACCATGTGGCCTGTCTTTGAGCTCTGTATAAACCATGTGGCATGTCTTTGAGCTCTGTATAAACCATGTGGCATGTCTTTGAGCTCTCTATGAACCATGTGGCATGTCTTTGAGCTCTCTATGAACCATGTGGCATGTCTTTGAGCTCTCTATGAACCATGTGGCATGTCTTTGAACTCTGTATAAACCATGTGGCATGTCTTTGAGCTCTCTATGAACCATGTGGCATGCCTTTGATCTCTCTATGAACCATGTGGCATGTCTTTGAGCTCTCTATGAACCATGTGGCATGTCTTTGAGCTCTGTATAAACCATGTGGCATGTCTTTGATCTCTCTATGAACCATGTGGCATGTCTTTGAGCTCTGTATAAACCATGTGGCATGTCTTTGAGCTCTCTATGAACCATGTGGCATGTCTTAGAGCTCTCTATGAACCATGTGGCATGTCTTTGAGCTCTGTATAAACCATGTGGCATGTCTTTGAGCTCTGTATAAACCATGTGGCCTGTCTTTGAGCTCTGTATAAACCATGTGGCCTGTCTTTGAGCTCTGTATAAACCATGTGGCATGTCTTTGATCTCTCTATGAACCATGTGGCATGTCTTTGAGCTCACTATGAACCATGTGGCATGTCTTTGAGCTCTCTAAGAACCATGTGGCATGTCTTTGAGCTCTCTAAGAACCATGTGGCATGTCTTTGAGCTCTCTATGAACCATGTGGCATGTCTTTGAGCTCTGTATAAACCATGTGGCCTGTCTTTGAGCTCTGTATAAACCATGTGGCATGTCTTTGAGCTCTGTATAAACCATGTGGCCTGTCTTTGAGCTCTGTATAAACCATGTGGCCTGTCTTTGAGCTCTGTATAAACCATGTGGCCTGTCTTTGAGCTCTGTATAAACCATGTGGCATGTCTTTGAGCTCTGTATAAACCATGTGGCCTGTCTTTGAGCTCTGAATAAACCATGTGGCCTGTCTTTGAGCTCTGTATGAACCATGTGGCATGTCTTTGAGCTCTGTATAAACCATGTGGCATGTCTTTGAGCTCTCTATAAACCATGTGGCATGTCTTTGAGCTCTCTATGAACCATGTGGCATGTCTTTGAGCTCTCTATGAACCATGTGGCATGTCTTTGAGCTCTGTATAAACCATGTGGCCTGTCTTTGAGCTCTGTATAAACCATGTGGCCTGTCTTTGAGCTCTGTATAAACCATGTGGCCTGTCTTTGAGCTCTGTATAAACCATGTGGCCTGTCTTTGAGCTCTGTATAAACCATGTGGCCTGTCTTTGAGCTCTGTATAAACCATGTGGCCTGTCTTTGAGCTCTGTATAAACCATGTGGCCTGTCTTTGAGCTCTGTATAAACCATGTGGCATGTCTTTGAGCTCTGTATAAACCATGTGGCCTGTCTTTGAGCTCTGTATAAACCATGTGGCCTGTCATTTGAGCTCTGTATGAACCATGTGGCATGTCTTTGAGCTCTGTATAAACCATGTGGCATGTCTTTGAGCTCTGTATGAACCATGTGGCATGTCTTTGAGCTCTGTATAAACCATGTGGCATGTCTTTGAGCTCTTTATAAACCATGTGGCCTGTCTTTGAGCTCTGTATAAACCATGTGGCCTGTCTTTGAGCTCTGTATAAACCATGTGGCCTGTCTTTGAGCTCTGTATAAACCATGTGGCCTGTCTTTGAGCTCTGTATAAACCATGTGGCCTGTCTTTGAGCTCTGTATAAACCATGTGGCCTGTCTTTGAGCTCTGTATAAACCATGTGGCCTGTCTTTGAGCTCTGTATAAACCATGTGGCATGTCTTTGAGCTCTGTATAAACCATGTGGCCTGTCTTTGAGCTCTGTATAAACCATGTGGCCTGTATTTGAGCTCTGTATGAACCATGTGGCATGTCTTTGAGCTCTGTATAAACCATGTGGCATGTCTTTGAGCTCTGTATGAACCATGTGGCATGTCTTTGAGCTCTGTATAAACCATGTGGCCTGTCTTTGAGCTCTGTATAAACCATGTGGCCTGTCTTTGAGCTCTGTATGAACCATGTGGCATGTCTTTGAGCTCTGTATAAACCATGTGGCATGTCTTTGAGCTCTGTATGAACCATGTGGCATGTCTTTGAGCTCTGTATAAACCATGTGGCATGTCTTTGAGCTCTTTATAAACCATGTGGCCTGTCTTTGAGCTCTGTATAAACCATGTGGCCTGTCTTTGAGCTCTGTATAAACCATGTGGCCTGTCTTTGAGCTCTGTATAAACCATGTGGCCTGTCTTTGAGCTCTGTATAAACCATGTGGCCTGTCTTTGAGCTCTGTATAAACCATGTGGCCTGTATTTGAGCTCTGTATGAACCATGTGGCATGTCTTTGAGCTCTGTATAAACCATGTGGCATGTCTTTGAGCTCTGTATGAACCATGTGGCATGTCTTTGAGCTCTGTATGAACCATGTGGCATGTCTTTGAGCTCTGTATAAACCATGTGGCATGTCTTTGAGCTCTGTATAAACCATGTGGCCTGTCTTTGAGCTCTGTATAAACCATGTGGCCTGTCTTTGAGCTCTGTATAAACCATGTGGCCTGTCTTTGAGCTCTGTATAAACCATGTGGCATGTCTTTGAGCTCTGTATAAACCATGTGGCCTGTCTTTGAGCTCTGTATAAACCATGTGGCCTGTATTTGAGCTCTGTATGAACCATGTGGCATGTCTTTGAGCTCTGTATAAACCATGTGGCATGTCTTTGAGCTCTGTATGAACCATGTGGCATGTCTTTGAGCTCTGTATAAACCATGTGGCCTGTCTTTGAGCTCTGTATAAACCATGTGGCCTGTCTTTGAGCTCTGTATGAACCATGTGGCATGTCTTTGAGCTCTGTATAAACCATGTGGCATGTCTTTGAGCTCTGTATGAACCATGTGGCATGTCTTTGAGCTCTGTATAAACCATGTGGCATGTCTTTGAGCTCTTTATAAACCATGTGGCCTGTCTTTGAGCTCTGTATAAACCATGTGGCCTGTCTTTGAGCTCTGTATAAACCATGTGGCCTGTCTTTGAGCTCTGTATAAACCATGTGGCCTGTCTTTGAGCTCTGTATAAACCATGTGGCCTGTCTTTGAGCTCTGTATAAACCATGTGGCCTGTATTTGAGCTCTGTATGAACCATGTGGCATGTCTTTGAGCTCTGTATAAACCATGTGGCATGTCTTTGAGCTCTGTATGAACCATGTGGCATGTCTTTGAGCTCTGTATGAACCATGTGTGTGTCTCCAGCGGCTCGTGGCCATGAACATGCCTCTGAACAGCGACGGCACCGTCATGTTCAACGCCACTCTATTCGCTCTGGTGAGAACTGCACTGAAGATCAAGACCGAAGGTAAGACCAGAGAGAGACCAGAGAGAGAGACCAGAGAGAGAGACCAGAGAGAGAGACCAGAGAGAGAGACCAGAAAGAGACCAGAGAGAGAGACCAGAGAGAGAGACCAGAGAGAGAGACCAGAGAGACACCAGAGAGAGACACCAGAGAGAGACCAGAGAGAGAGACCAGAGAGAGAGACCAGAGAGAGAGACCAGAGAGAGAGACCAGAGAGAGAGACCAGAGACCAGAGAGAGACCAGAGAGAGACCAGAGAGACCAGAGAGAGACCAGAGAGAGACCAGAGAGAGAGACCAGAGAGAGACCAGAGAGAGACCAGAGAGAGACCAGAGAGAGACCAGAGAGAGACCAGAGAGACCAGAGAGACCAGAGAGACCAGAGAGACCAGAGAGGCCAGAGAGAGACCAGAGAGAGACCAGAGAGAGACCAGAGAGAGACCAGAGAGAGACCAGAGAGACCAGAGTGAGACCAGAGTGAGACCAGAGTGAGCCCAGAGTGAGCCCAGAGTGAGCCCAGAGTGAGACCAGAGTGAGACCAGAGTGAGACCAGAGTGAGACCAGAGTGAGACCAGAGTGAGACCAGAGAGAGACCAGAGAGAGACCAGAGAGAGACCAGAGAGAGACCAGAGAGAGACCAGAGAGAGACCAGAGAGAGACCAGAGAGAGACCAGAGAGAGAGACCAGAGAGAGACCAGAGAGACCAGAGAGACCAGAGAGAGACCAGAGAGAGACCAGAGAGAGACCAGAGAGACCAGAGAGACCAGAGAGAGACCAGAGAGAGACCAGAGAGAGACCAGAGAGAGAGACCAGAGAGAGACCAGAGAGAGACCAGAGAGACCAGAGTGAGACCAGAGAGAGACCAGAGAGAGAGACCAGAGAGAGACCAGAGAGAGACCAGAGAGACCAGAGTGAGACCAGAGAGAGACCAGAGAGAGACCAGAGAGAGACCAGAGAGAGAGACCAGAGAGAGACCAGAGAGAGACCAGAGAGACCAGAGTGAGACCAGAGAGAGACCAGAGAGAGACCAGAGAGAGACCAGAGAGAGACCAGAGAGAGACCAGAGAGAGACCAGAGAGAGAGACCAGAGAGAGACCAGAGAGAGAGACCAGAGAGACCAGAGAGAGACCAGAGAGAGACCAGAGAGAGACCAGAGAGACCAGAGAGACCAGAGAGAGACCAGAGAGAGACCAGAGAGAGAGAGACCAGAGAGAGACCAGAGAGAGAGACCAGAGAGAGACCAGAGAGAGACCAGAGAGACCAGAGTGAGACCAGAGAGAGACCAGAGAGAGAGACCAGAGAGAGACCAGAGAGAGACCAGAGAGACCAGAGTGAGACCAGAGAGAGACCAGAAAGACCAGAGTGAGACCAGAGAGAGACTAGAGAAAGACCAGAGAGACCAGAAGTAAGACAAGAGAGAGAACAGAGAGAGACTAGAGAGAGACCAGAGAGACCAGAGTGAGACCAGAGAGAGACCAGAGAGAGACCAGAGAGAGACCAGAGAGAGACCAGAGAGAGACCAGAGAGACCAGAGTGAGACCAGAGAGAGACCAGAGAGAGAGACCAGAGAGAGACCAGAGAGAGACCAGAGAGACCAGAGTGAGACCAGAGAGAGACCAGAGAGAGACCAGAGAGAGACCAGAGAGAGAGACCAGAGAGAGACCAGAGAGAGACCAGAGAGACCAGAGTGAGACCAGAGAGAGACCAGAGAGAGACCAGAGAGAGACCAGAGAGAGACCAGAGAGAGAGACCAGAGAGAGACCAGATACAGACCAGAGAGAGAGAGACCAGAGAGAGAGACCAGAGAGAGACCAGAGAGAGACCAGAGAGACCAGAGAGAGACCAGAGTGAGACCAGAGTGAGACCAGAGTGAGACCAGAGAGAGACCAGAGAGACCAGAGAGAGACCAGAGAGAGAGAGACCAGAGAGAGAGACCAGAGAGAGACCAGAGATAGACCAGAGAGAGACCAGAGAGAGACCAGAGAGAGACTAGAGAAGTCTCTGCACACACTCTCTGCCAGAAAAAGTCTGGCTCGTCCTCGTTCACCTGTTTGTGATTTGACTGAAGGGAACTTGGACGAAGCCAACGAGGAGCTGAGAGCCGTCATCAAGAAGATCTGGAAGAGGACCAGCATGAAGCTCCTGGACCAAGTGGTGCCCCCTGCTGGCGGTTTGTACCAGAGACCAGTCCTTACATAACACATGCTGTAGACCCAGGACTGAGGCTGTAGACCCAGGACTGAGGCTGTAGACCCAGGACTGAGGCTGTAGACCCAGGACTGAAGCTGTAGACCCAGGACTGAGGCGGTAGACCCAGGACTGAGGCTGTAGACCCAGGACTGAGGCTGTAGACCCAGGACTGAGGCTGTAGACCCAGGACTGAGGCTGTAGATCCAGGACTGAGGCTGTAGACCCAGGACTGAGGCTGTAGATCCAGGACTGAGGCGGTAGACCCAGGACTGAGGCTGTAGACCCAGGACTGAGGCTGTAGACCCAGGACTGAGGCTGTAGACCCAGGACTGAGGCTGTAGACCCAGGACTGAGGCTGTAGATCCAGGACTGAGGCTGTAGACCCAGGACTGAGGCTGTAGACCCAGGACTGAGACTGTAGACCCAGGACTGAGGCTGTAGACCCAGGACTGAGGCTGTAGACCCAGGACTGAGGCTGTAGACCCAGGACTGAGACTGTAGACCCAGGACTGAGGCTGTAGACCCAGGACTGAGGCTGTAGACCCAGGACTGAGGCTGTAGATCCAGGACTGAGGCTGTAGACCCAGGACTGAGGCTGTAGACCCAGGACTGAGACTGTAGACCCAGGACTGAGGCTGTAGACCCAGGACTGAGGCTGTAGATCCAGGACTGAGGCTGTAGACCCAGGACTGAGGCTGTAGACCCAGGACTGAGGCTGTAGACCCAGGACTGAGGCGGTAGACCCAGGACTGAGGCGGTAGACCCAGGACTGAGGCGGTAGATCCAGGACTGAGGCGGTAGACCCAGGACTGAGGCGGTAGACCCAGGACTGAGGCGGTAGATCCATCTCCAGTTAATATAATAATTCGTGTAGTCTGTAGTTTAGGCCTGCTGTCTCTGCTTTCTGTGTGTGTAGCTGTAGTCTGTAGTTTAGGCCTGCTGTCTCTGCTTTCTGTGTGTGTAGCTGTAGTCTGTAGTTTAGGCCTGCTCTCTCTGCATGTCTCTGCTGTGTCTCTAATGCTGTGTGTGTCTGTCCTGGAGCTCCTTCCTCCTCCACAGTTCCAGCTTCTTCCTGCCCTCTCTAGCGCCCCCTAGGCTCTGTGCAGCAGTCCTGTTTCAGCTGGTGGCATGGCACTCTGGAACCTCAGTGTAGACGCAGTGACCCGGGCTCTGTCCACTCAGACAAACACACACACACATACACACACACCACTCAGAGACACACACACTGCCCACACAAAGTTTTGTACTTTGTCCCTCCATGTCTCTGGTCTCTCTCTAGTCTCTCTCTGGTCTCTCCCTCTGGTCTCTCTCTGGTCTCTCTCTGGTCTCTCTCTGGTCTCTCTCTCTGGTCTCTCTCTCTGGTCTCTCTCTGGTCTCTCTCTGGTCTCTCTCTGGTCTCTCTCTCTGGTCTCTCTCTGGTCTCTCTCTGGTCTCTCTCTGGTCTCTCTGGTCTCTCTCTGGTCTCTCTCTGGTCTGGTCTCTCTGGTCTCTCTCTGGTCTCTCTCTGGTCTCTCTCTGGTCTCTCTCTGGTCTCTCTCTCTGGTCTCTCTCTGGTCTCTCTCTGGTCTCTCTCTGGTCTCTCTCTGGTCTCTCTCTGGTCTCTCTCTGGTCTCTCTCTCTCTGGTCTCTCTCTGGTCTCTCTCTGGTCTCTCTCTGGTCCTCTCTCTCTGGTCTCTCTCTGGTCTCTCTCTGGTCTCTCTCTGGTCTCTCTCTGGTCTCTCTCTGGTCTCTCTCTGGTCTCTCTCTGGTCTCTCTCTGGTCTCTCTCTGGTCTCTCTCTGTCTCCTCTGGTCTCTCTCTCTGGTCTCTCTCTGGTCTCTCTCTGGTCTCTCTCTGGTCTCTCTCTGGTCTCTGGTCTCTCTCTGGTCTCTCTCTGGTCTCTCTCTCTGGTCTCTCTCTCTCTCTGGTCTCTCTCTGGTCTCTCTCTGGTCTCTCTGGTCTCTCTGGTCTCTCTCTGGTCTCTCTCTGGTCTCTCTCTGGTTCTCTGTCTCTCTCTCTTCTCTGGTCTCTCTCTGGTCTCTCTCTGTCTCTCTCTCTCTGGTCTCTCTCTGGTCTCTCTCTCTGGTCTCTCTCTGGTTCTCTCTCTGGTCTCTCTCTGGTCTCTCTCTCTGGTCTCTCTCTGGTCTCTCTCTGGTCTCTCTCTGGTCTCTCTCTGGTCTCTCTCTGGTCTCTCTCTGGTCTCTCTCTGGTCTCTCTCTGGTCTCTCCTCTGGTCTCTCTCTGGTCTCTCTCTGGTCTCTCTCTGGTCTCTCTCTGGTCTCTCTCTCTCTGGTCTCTCTCTGGTCTCTCTCTGGTCTCTCTCTGGTCTCTCTCTGGTCTCTCTCTGGTCTCTCTCTGGTCTCTCTCTGGTCTCTCTCTGGTCTCTCTGGTCTCTCTCTGGTCTCTCTCTGGTCTCTCTCTGGTCTCTCTCTGGTCTCTCTCTGGTCTCTCTCTGGTCTCTCTCTGGTCTCTCTCTGGTCTCTCTCTGGTCTCTCTCTCTGGTCTCTCTCTGGTCTCTCTCTGGTCTCTCTCTGGTCTCTCTCTGGTCTCTCTCTGGTCTCTCTCTGGTCTCTCTCTCTGGTCTCTCTCTGGTCTCTCTCTGGTCTCTCTCTGGTCTCTCTCTGGTCTCTCTCTGGTCTCTCTCTCTGGTCTCTCTCTGGTCTCTCTGGTCTCTCTCTGGTCTCTCTCTGGTCTCTCTCTGGTCTCTCTCTCTGGCCTCTCTCTGGTCTCTCTCTGGTCTCTCTCTGGTCTCTCTCTGGTCTCTCTCTGGTCTCTCTGGTCTCTCTCTGGTCTCTCTCTGGTCTCTCTCTGGTCTCTCTGGTCTCTCTCTGGTCTCTCTCTGGTCTCTCTCTGGTCTCTCTGGTCTCTCTCTGGTCTCTCCCTGGTCTCTCTCTGGTCTCTCTCTCTGGTCTCTCTCTGGTCTCTCTCTGGTCTCTCTCTGGTCTCTCTGGTCTCTCTCTCTGGTCTCTCCCTGGTCTCTCTCTGGTCTCTCTCTGGTCTCTCTCTGGTCTCTCTCTGGTCTCTCTCTGGTCTCTCCCTGGTCTCTCTCTGGTCTCTCTCTGGTCTCTCTCTGGTCTCTCTCTGGTCTCTCTCTGGTCTCTCTGGTCTCTCTCTGGTCTCTCCCTGGTCTCTCAGTGTGTGACTTGGAAGTTGTCTTGTAAAATAGTGCATAAACACAAACTGTTTTCTGTTGGACAGAGCCTTTAGTCTCAGCTTTTGTGAGTTTGTGAACCGTGGCTTTTCTCTCCCAGAGTCGGTCTGTGCTGTGCTGGTCTGTGCTGGTCTGTGCTGGTCTGTACTGGTCTGTGCTGGTCTGTGCTGGTCTGAGCCTCACTCACAGCAACACCTTAAACATATGAAATAGTAACAAACAGCACAGAGCAAAAGTGTGGACACCCTCTCTCCTTCATGAGTTCTTTTCATGACTATCGTCTGTAGACCTGCACCAGGCTGTGAAAGGGCCGGACCTGAACCCAGTCCACATGGTTTTGGACCTGAACCCAGTCCAGATGGTTTTGGGCCTGAACCCAGTCCAGATGGTTTTGGGGCTGAACCCAGTCCAGATGGTTTTGGACCTGAACCCAGTCCAGATGGTTTTGGACCTGAACCCAGTCCAGATGGTTTTGGACCTGAACCCAGTCCAGATGGTTTTGGGGCTGGACCACAGAGTGAAGGGGCCATAAGTGCTAAGCATCATGGGAACTCCTTCAAGACTGTTAGAGACATTTCAGGTCCTGTTGAAGATCATCCAGAGAATGCCAAGAGTGAAGCAGTATCAGAGCAAAAGGAGCTACTTTGAAGAACCAGAATAAAACACATATTTACACTTGGTTCATACTTTTTTACTACGAACATCATTCACATGAGTTCATCATAGGTTTGATGCCCTCAGTGTCAATCTACTATTTTCATAATCACGAACATAACAAACTCTTTGGATCAGAATGTGTCCAAACTTTTGCTCTGTATTGTAAAAAACAGACCTGTAGTCTTCAGCTTCATCCAGGCTGATCAGACAGACGGACAATGCTAACCTGCTAGCTCAATGACGCCCATTAGGGAAGTGCTCATGGTGAAGTTTGGCTCCTCTCTCTGGCTCCTAATGGCTTAGTAACGTTAGTGTCACACTCATCACTTTGGTTTATCGTTCTCTGTGATCCTGCTGTTTATATTATGATACGATCTATTTAAGGATCGACCAATCAGACCGAGTGTGACATCACCACAGTGTGAGCCTTAAAGCAGAAGAAGTCCATTTTAAGATAAGCTAGCAAGAGCCTGTTTCCTTATATGGGTATTTCTTCTGTGGCGTTAGCTTGGCGGCGTTATAGCATCAGACATGTTGCTAAGATGGTTGCTAAGGCGAGGATCACAGATGGCGCTAAACCACAGACAAATGGTGAGTTTACTTTTACATGGAAGTCAATAGGAGCATAACTTCGTCCATGAGCCCTCCATTGAGCTAGTGGGTTAGCATCGTCCACCTGTATACAGTCTGTGTTAGCATTAGCATCTGTATACAGTCTGTGTTAGCATTAGCATCTGTATACAGTCTGTGTTAGCATTAGCATCTGTATACAGTCTGTGTTAGCATTAGCATCTGTATACAGTCTGTGTTAGCATGTAGCATCTGTATACAGTCTGTGTTAGCATGTAGCATCTGTATACAGTCTGTGTTAGCATTAGCATCTGTATACAGTCTGTGTTAGCATTAGCATCTGTATACAGTCTGTGTTAGCATTAGCATCTGTATACAGTCTGTGTTAGCATTAGCATCTGTATACAGTCTGTGTTAGCATTAGCATCTGTATACAGTCTGTGTTAGCATTAGCATCTGTATACAGTCTGTGTTAGCATTAGCATCTGTATACAGTCTGTGTTAGCATTAGCATCTGTATACAGTCTGTGTTAGCATTAGCATCTGTATACAGTCTGTGTTAGCATGTAGCATCTGTATACAGTCTGTGTTAGCATTAGCATCTGTATACAGTCTGTGTTAG